AATTTATTTTACTAATTTTTCTGGTTGTTGGAAAACACTTATTTCTGTATTTAATTATCATATTCATTTTGTGATTTCAATTTTTAATTAAAAATGTTTTTTTTTCTTTCTGTGATTAAATATTTATTATGCCCTGCTCCCATTAAATTTAATTCTACTTTCTAATCATTTCTTTGCGCGTATATTGTATTATTTTTGTTATTTATGTTATAAAATAAATGGCATTACATAATTATCGAGTTTATTAGCATCTACGAGAGTATTTTATAATTGATGGAACAAAATGGATGGAAGTGCATTAGCCCGTGTGCGCTGCTATGTTTACGTGTGACTTGTGATAATGAATTGCAAGCATTTCTCAACACGCACGTCAATTACCGGCTCCGTGGCCAATAATAGTTTATCGATACAACACGTAACGCGTCCTTTCGCATTTTCGCGCGCAATTGTATTTCCGCTCTGCAATTACTTAAATTCTGCCCTAATTGTAAATTCATGATCCACGATTCTATTATTCCACTGTGTATTCAAGTGGTTATTGTGTTTACTGCTATTGATTGTGCCAGTGTACAATGTCGTTGATTAAAATCGAGCTTTCATGAAGCGAAATAAATTGTGATTGATTTAAAAATTATGTTAAAATATTTAACATCATTTCTGACATAAATTGATCAACTTTATATAAAAATTATTTTAAATCATTCCACATCATTTCATATAATAATAATTACATTATTAGGCAGAGATCAAACAAATGCACTGCCTTTTCTAAATTGTAACTTGTAAGAGAGAATGTCGGATTTCTAGGTTGTGAAACACTACAAGGAAACCTCGATTGCGGTTCAACGGAAGAAACTATAAAAGTGCACTTGGAAGGGAGGGAAGAGAAGCGAGGAAAGGCGGAAACGGTGGGGATTGCATCTGCGGTTAGCTTGCGAATTTCGTACGGTTTTGCGTCTTGCGGCGCTGCGCGCCCAAGTGCAGTCTCGTAAACGGCTGCGTAAACGAGCCACAACTACCGTGTACCCACACACGGGTGTATAACTTTCTCCCTTTCGTCGGCCGCCCTTTTACACGGTCGATTGCACTGACGATGCACTCGAGGAAACATTCGTCGTTTTGCAGCGCGCGCTCTCTTCGTAAAGAGGCGTGAAATCCTTCGCGCTTTTCGAAGATCCTCGAGAGATCCACCATGTCGAATCCCGATGGAGGGCCCGACTGCACGTTCGACAAATCGTTCGGCTCTGACGCGGGAAATCGGTATGGAACGAAGCAGCTGCTGAAGACTTTCACCGACTTTTGCAGATTCGCGGGTTCGAGCGAACGGTTTTTGAGTGGCCGTCGTTTATCCAAGGGAGTTATGACGCTTGTCAAGTTGTCGTATTCAGAAATCTAAAGTGTATCCTCAAAAGATCCAGTCGGGATTACATTTAGTGCGCTTAAATCGAACGTGTTTTGCTTATTCCTATAATACTTTTAAATTTTATTTAAGGGGGAAGACTATTTTTATATATTTGTTAACAATGTTCATCGATGCGATCTGATAACTGCTGAGAATTCTTTTATTGCAACTGGAAAAAGCACGTTGAAGAGCTTCAAAACTATCCGCTTGTCTCGGCTTTCAATTACTGTTTACTGAGAAAACACGAATAAAGGAACTCGTGTTGCTTAGTTGAAAAATGCTTTTGAAATGCTCGAGAATGGTATTCGAAAAAGTATATACGTGTAGTATACCGTGCGCGATCCATTCTACTTGTTTGAGAAACCAGTGAAACTTTTATTGCGCATACATTTGCCGTCGACTAAATAAAGTCTTTGACAATCGATCCTTCACTGGCAAGTATACATTATACTCGACTTCTCATAACGATCATGAAGTCACTTGTTTCAAATCTTCTAAATCGATGACGAGGAGCCATCTGATAAATCGATTTAAACTGAACGTATTGATATTCCTGCGGGAACAAACTTGTTTTCATTCTGCACCGGGTACCCTCCGGTTTGTCCAATTTGTCAGAGAACTAACCGAGACAGCACGGCGTCGACAAAGCCGACATGTTAGGGACAGAGTCTCACATTGTGGTGAAACATATTATATGAGTTCGAAAAGGACATCGCGGTGAAAGAGCGAAGAGGGAAGAATGGGGGGAATATCGAATTGAAGAAATTTGAAGGAGCAGCAAAAATTTTCAAATAGCTCGCTTGTTCGGCAGCAGACACCTGGTGGCTACCTGAACACCGCGAGGCGTGAGGTAATTTACTTGGTGGCCGGTCACGAACGGTAACCCCTCTTGACCCAGCCCTCCTCTTCATTAACGCGGACAATAGGGTACTCTCTGACAAATTGCTGAATTCTAATGCGAGGTATAGGCAGAAGAGATAATTCGACGAGTGGAGCTGATGTTGCGATGATGGTCTCAAAAATCTCAATATGATGAATTTCAAATGTAATTTAAGCTAAATATGTTACTTGTATTTGTCATTTTCTTTCAATTTTCTGAATTATTTTTACGATTTTACTATAAATTCTTACAAACAAATGAATCCGTCCGTACAAGAACTATGTTTGCAATTTATAAAATTCCGTTTTAGTGTAAAACGTTTTATGACACACTTCAACAATTTTAATTAATGTAAAAGATTTTCTAAAATCAACTTTAAATTTGTCAGTGAATTGAAACTTTTGCGACACTCTATATAATGGTTTTTCAATTTCAGATGAGCAAAATGGTTTCTAAAGAGCTTTCTCTCTGCGATGGCCTGAAAATATAAGAAGACAAAGAGATGGTACTTAGTCATTCGAGACGGGATGCATTTGGCTTAATTCTTGAAGGAAAGTACTGACGACTTTCACGCCTTGATTATCGGATAAGAATTTGTCGTCGGTGTCGTCGGCGCCGCGGTAGTCGATAAATCCTTGCCGGATCTAATCCGACTGCCCATTGCTGCATCTATGAAAAGCCCATAAATTGAGAATTATACTCGGCCAGAGTCGTCAGCTTTTACTGCCAGTAATACTGCCGATTCAGCGCCAGCTTTAATTCCATTAATTATTTACATGCGAGAGAAACCGCAGCAACGTGATATAAAATTAATGAACTTCGTCGTTTTGTCATGAAAATACAAATTAAATGACATTTAGGAATATGTATAATACACTATTTCATAAAAAATATTAATTAATTAATATTATTTTATATTTAAATATCCGATATGTGCACTTTACAAAAAAAACGATTTTAATTCTAATTTTCAATTATGATTATAAACACTAATTAAAGATATTAATCTGCAGTAATAAATGTATCAAAAACTAAAAAACGCAATAACAAAATAATTAAAAATAAGCGAGTAAAGACAAAACAACATTTTTAGAATAGAAAGAGAAATACATTTTGCTTTTTAAT